CTGAAGATTATAAAGAATAATAATAATTTAAAAAAAAAAAAAAAACTGTCCAAGATCACACTTCTGGAACATAGCGGCACCACAGCTTGAATGCAGTTGATTTGTCTATGCCCTTAAATAGCAGAGCTTTGGTCAAAATCCCTCACCCTCTTCTTTAGACTACTGGTGTCTATCTGCTTTCTTTTAGGGCAGCTGTTCTCAAAGGGCGGTGTGAAGACAACTGGGGGTCCCGGAATCTCTTTCATGGGGGACTGTGAGGTCTAAATTATTTTCTTAATACCAAGATGCCATTTGCCTTTTTTCACAGTTTTGGCATTTGCGCTGATGCTGTAAAAGTCAATGGGGTAAAACTGTTAATGACTTAGCAGGAATCAAGACAATGGCATTAAGCCGTAGAAACAGTCTTTGTTTTCTACAGCACACATTTTCTGTAAGAAAGAAATGCCAGTTCATGCACGAAAATCTTTGCTGAAGCAGTAAATATTAATTTTATTAACTCTTGAGCCTAAAGAATGCATATTTTTAATACTCTATATGATGAAATGGGAAGAATACATAAAGCATTTCTGCTGCATACTGAAACATCATGGTTGTTTCAAGAAAAAGCACTGTGTGGTTGTGAGTCAGTAGCTGAATAAGCCATTTTTTTTTTTCATGGAACACTATTTTCACTTGAAAGAACTGACAAACTATGGTTATTTAGACTCAGGTATTTGGCAGATATTTTCTCAAAATTGAACAAAGGAAAAGCCTGTCACTTCAGGAAAAGCAAATGACAGCATTTTTGACACTTAAAAATGGAGCTTTCAGGTGGAAACTGGAATTTTGGAAAACTTTTACCTGCCACTGGGAGCTTGACAGCCTCCTCAATACATTATGATTTTTATCATGAGATCAATGATGATATTAATAAATGTGATTTTTGAATCTTATATAATGAAATATGTCAAAATACATGCAAGCAGTGTCAATGCATAGTAGTCCCTCAATAAATATTTCTTGAATAAATGATCCCAATTCCCTTCTAGGTTTGAAATTCTGTAGTTCATCTTTATGATATGATATTTTGAACCACAATCTTTTTACTGATTAGCAGAGAGATGTTTTTGCTTTACTCGCACACATTCACACACACAGAAACACTTTGGTTTTTAATCAAAGAGATCATCTCAGATCTTTTTTCTTATCTTCTTTGTCCTTGCAAGGGCAGCTCTAGAGAAAATTGGGTATGTTAAATTTGATGTATTTTAATAAATTATAATGCACATATATTCATTAATAATATATATTCCACACCAAGGCATCAGTAGGAATTAATTTTTAAAAGTCTGCTCTAATAGGAAGATTATGTAAGAGTTCTGTATAATAAGCTCACAAAGAACAAGAAAGAAGAAGAAAAAAATTGAAACGGAACTTTTTTGTGGGGAAAAAGAAACCCTCAGGTTGGAGTGTAAATTGATACAGCCACTATGGAAAACAGTATGGAGGTTCCTCAAAAAATTAAGAATAGAATTACCATTAAGAATAGAATTACCATGACCCAGCAATCCTTCTGGGTAGCTACCCCAAATTTTTGAGAACATTTATCCATAAAGATATATGCACCTGATGTTCATTTCAGTATTATTCACGGTGGCTAAGACCTGGAAACAACTGAAGTGTCCTGCAATAGATGACTGGATAAAGCAGATGCGGTGCATATATACAATGGAGCCATAAGAAGAGATGAAATACTGCATTTGTGACAACATGGATGAATCTTGAGTAATCATGCTGAGGGAAATAAGTCAGACAAAATGGGTCAAGAACCATACGATTTCATTCATATGTGGGATATAAGACTGAAAGCAACAACGAACAAGACAAACAAAAACTCATTGACACAGACAACAGTTTAGTAATTACCAGAAGGAAAGGGGGATGAGAGAGGTAGATAAGGGCAAAGGGGGTCAAATATATGGTGATGAAAGGAGACTTGACTTTGGGTGGTGAACACTCAGTGCAATATACAAATGATGCGTTATAGAATTGTACACCTGAAACCTATATAATGTTATTAACAAATATCACTCCAACAAATTTAATTAAAAATAAATTAAATTAAATTTTAAAAACTTCCGAAGAACTATGAGAAGTTTCAAGACAGCAAAGCTGCAGGTGAAGCAACAAGAAACTCTGCTCACTATAATCTTTAATGTCTCAACCTACCCAAACAGTTTCCCTTGCAAAGGGAAAGCTGTAAGTCTGGAACTGGCCTGCCTTCTCAGGGTTTATGAGTCTGGAACTGGCCTGCTTTCTCAGGGTTTAAGAGATAATAGTATGAAAATTTAAAAGAGATTTCTTTACTTCCTTTTGGCCAAGACTCAAATTCTTTGTTCTTGCTTTTATGACAAGTGAACATAAAGGAATTTTTTGTTTTTAAATAACTTTTCATGATTTTGTGATGGTCCTTGTTCCATGTCATCTCAAAGAAGTCAGAGTCATTTGTAGAGATTATTGAAAGAATTCCACATTAAATATTTTAATCTAATTTCATTTTAGCAAAGTGTTGTCATATGTATGATAAGGCACTTCGATGGCACTGATGTCGACGAAGGTTAAATGACACAGGCAAACTATTGACAGTAATCTAACCCAGCTCTCTGATTCCAATTGCTATATGTTTTTCATTCCATTGTCAATAAAGAAACCAAAATCAGTTCAACTAAATGCTCTAATACAAAAGTAACCTTATTCTCCCCTAGGAAAGCAACCACATTTCATAGAAATTTCTTAAGACATTTCTCATGCTGTTTCATTTTCATTTAGCATGTAGGAAGAATTTTATCCATTCCATTCAAGACAGGTGATAAGAGGCAGATGTATTACACTACACATCTTGTAGTTAGGGGCAAACTTCTTCCACACTCAAAAGTATAAAAGCTGTGACTATTTCAGACAACCTAGAGCTGGACTATGTGGCCATCGAAATTAACATAAAATAGTGGAAAACATTAATTCTACTTTTGCCATCTGCCTTGAATATAGAAGGCACAAAATAAATAGTTGATTGATTTTTGAGTAAAATAAAATAATTTTTCCCACCTTCTGATTTATATTCACATACCACCTAATGGAGTATCAAATAAACAAACAAACAAACAAAAACGGGCTTTGTCTTTCCTAAGATCAGAAGTTTTTTCAAAACCAGTATGGCAAATGACATAATTTTTTGACATGTGTGATATTTTATAACTTATTTAGAGTATATCTTCACCGTAGCAGGAACTACAATGACAATGTTATATTATAAATACAAATTCAATAAAGACACAGCTACTAAAATCTTTTTTTGTCATCGGAGCAGACCAGGGAACTAGTATTTAGATATACACTCAAAAATCATATAGTGACCTATATAATTTTTCTTATGTTACCATACGATCTAGAGTTTCTTATTGTCTGTAAGCTCAGTACATACATGCAACAAATTGCTCAGAGTTAGGAAGCCATTTAGGGATAAACTACTATGGAGACTAGAATAAGTGCGGGGGCAGAGATAGGGTGGGTGGTTGGGGATAGGGAAATGTCACAGATGACTTTGATGATTACTTGGATGCTGTGGTTTTAGATTGTTCTACAAGATGACTGATGTACTCGTATTTTGTTATTATTATTTCTATTTTCTATCATGATTTTTTAAATGTGATTTTTGGCACAATGCAAAATAAACTAACTGTTAACTTATGTTTCAAAATTTATGTAGCTGATTTCCTGCATTTTTGAGAGTTCTGTCACATTTCCAGTAGATGGAATTTTTTTCCTTCCCTGGGAAATTGTACAGGGCTGCTTCACATGTCTGCCTCTCTCCTCTCCTCTCCCACCCAGGTGGTAGGAATGTGTAAATGTGTTCCCTATACTCTGCACTTCCCAGCTCACTACTGAAGCTCCATGGTCAGTCGTGCTTCCACCAAATCAAGACCTTATTTCGAGGAGGATGGCTTAAATTGTGGGGATACTTAAAACCGCAACAGAAGAAATGGCTGGAAGAACCGAAGATAATTAGATTATGATAGTTGACATTGACATGGTTTACTAATTCCAAAAACTATTCTAGACAATGTAAATTAATTCACTTATTCCTTACAATAACCTAGCAGGTCAGTTCTCATATTATCCCATTTTATAGATGAAGACTGAAGCACTAAGGGGTTACATTTTGCAGAGTCACCTAGCTCATAAGTGGCAGAGCCAGGGTTCAGAACAGAAGGGGTCTAGCTCCACAGTCCATGCTTTTAACCACTTACCAAATGAAAGATTCAGGAAGAATATAAAAACTGTCTTGGAATTGTTTAAGAGCAGCAGACTAGAAAAGGAAGTAAATATATTTTGCACTGCCTCAGAAGATGCCTCAGAGGATCCAAAAGGAAAAGCTAAAAGGAAACAGAGTTTTGACTTCTCCATTGCTGCTGACGGTCAGACCTTGTCTGAAGAATCAGTGTTCAATGATGCCAATAACCAGAACAGCACTTGGCTATGTAAAACTTCTTCCCTATCCCGAGATTTTAAGTCAGGGATGTACGATTGCACTGTTTCCAGTATTTTTTTATTTGGAGAGTTTGTAAGATATGATACAAGAGGGGAGAAAGAAATAATGGGCCCTTTAGTATTTTATCGACAAACATTACTGGCATTATTCTTTTTTACCAAAAATTTCCTATAATATATTTGGCTCAAAGGTCTCAGAACAGACTTTTGATAGATTTGATAAAGTTAGCTTATTGAAAATTGGATTGAAAATTGGATTGTTTCCAAGTTAAAATTTGTAGTGCAGCACTAAAAGCACTACTTAAATGTGAATACTTAAAAAAATTACTAGAAGAAACGTTAAATAACAGCTCGGTTGATTTTCTTAATTCCTCTCATTCATTTGCTTTCCTAACTCTCATGCATTTTTTTTTTTTTTTGTAGGCAATTCTTATGCAAGAAGCTAAACGTAATTAAATGTGCAGGATGAAAAGATGGCACAGGCACTGCTGGTACCCCCGGGACCCGAAAGCTTCCGCCTTTTTACTAGAGAATCTCTTGCTGCTATCGAAAAACGTGCTGCAGAAGAGAAAGCCAAAAAGCCCAAGAGAGAACAAGACAATGATGATGAGAACAAACCAAAGCCAAATAGCGACTTGGAAGCTGGAAAAAACCTTCCATTTATTTATGGAGACATTCCTCCAGAGATGGTGTCAGAGCCCCTGGAGGACCTGGACCCGTACTACATCAGTAAGAAAGTGAGTGTTGATTTTATACTTCTGAAAGTTCAGTTATACTTCCAAATTAACCACTTATCTTTAACAGACTTTTCTCAGGTTCATATACATACTGTGTCATAATTTTTCTATAGTTAAAAGATTTTATGCTATAATAAGCAGAAACATTTATAAGAAATGAAGTCAAGATTTGGCTATAGTGAAGAGATATGAAGAGATAAACTATTTCTACAATTTCACAGTAACTGAGATAGTCAAAATTAAAATTGACACCAACAAAGCAAAATATCCGTTATTGCTGACATAATTAAGCACATGGTAGACAAAAGAATAATAGCCAAGTAAAAGAAGAATTATGGGCAGGTGTACTTCTTATTTTTTAGTTCTTATTTGGGTTGGGTTTCTTCACAATAGAGTTGTATTCTAAAGAGTAATAATCTTGTACTTAGCATCCCCCTATAGAGAAATATCACATTGAGAAGCATGTTCACCCAGACATACATTTTTTTTGTCTACCTGGAATATGATTTAGAGATTCTCTAACCTTACTTAATTTGTGACAGACTAGATTCTGGAACATCTACAGATTGTTAAAACATCACCGTAACCAAAAAAATGTCAGGAACAGAAAATCAAAAAGAAAAAAAACCCTCACGTTTTCTCCATCCATATATGTATAATTTAAATCAATGATAATCACTGTGGTTTCCTAATGCTAGAATAACCACATAATTTTGTCGGAATTAAGCAGTTTTCTTTTAAAGGTAAATGACCTTTGTAGTATTTTATAGGATATTATTTTTTAATGGATAACAGACTCCACACTTTCTAATTGTGTATTTTAGTATCTTGTAAACCACAATCTAGATTTCACATTTACAAACATAAAAACGGGTCTATGTAGAAATAAAGATAAATTAATATCATCATGAGTTGATGGATTATAAATTAAAGAGGATATTGAACACCTTTATTAGTCAAAGTCAGTCCTTCTAAAAGGAATAGCTAATGAAACTGCATTGTTTAAAAAGTATATAATTTAACTTTATAAGATAAGTGATGGCTACAGAAACTGCCAATCAACCATTCAGACATGGAACTATCCCTATTACTCTAAAGGAGTGCTTCTCATACTTGCATGTAGATACTTATCACCTGAGGATCTTGTTAAAATACAGATTCTGATTCCATAGATCTGAAGTGTGCCCAGAGATCCTGCATTTCTAACAAGCCTCTGAGTGAGATTCCTGCAGCTAGCACAGGGACTACATTTTGAGTAGCAAGCTTTAAAATGCTTTACTTAAAGCTATAAAACAAAATTAAATAGGTCCTTTCTTTTTCCTTTTAAACTAGTTCCATAAAAAGCGGTATTTAGTATATACTCATATATTTCTAAAATAATTTATTTCAGCACTTTACTGAATTGATAAAGAAAATTTTGATATTTAGTTACTGTATTATTGCACATGATGACAACAGTAAGGCATCCTCCAATGAACTAGCAAATGATTCTCCTCTGAAAACTATTAATTCAAAGTATATATTTGCAAAGATACCTTCAAGAGACAGGGGTACCAGTTACTCTCATATGATTAAACGTATCTGCTACTTAAAGAAAGGAAATGTCCTTAAGAGAATTAAGTAAGAGGACTACATTGGGCTACGTAACAGAGATGTTAAATATTCTGAATCATTTGCTTTAAGTCGGCTTGTTAGATCCTAACTTCAACAAAGAACCTTCTTATTATAATTTGTCTTCCCATAAATCTGCTTAAAAGGAATGATTGTGCTGGTTATGCCATTGCAATTATTTCAGTCCATGTGACAGTAATGTATTTCTTTATAAATAAATAGATTGGCATTGTGATTTTATGTCAGGCTTTCAAACTTGGTTAATGTAAATATGCCGCTTGGAAACAGAATTGTTCTCTGTGTGCTAACGAAGTCAGTTGTTATTGCTTCCCTGTCTGAGAACCAGCCTTGGACCTTGATTTATTTAATAGTGGCTGTAACACATCTTGAGAGATATCTAGACTATTTACTAATTACTGTTGGCTGCACGGCTTTCCTTTATGAAATGTCTATAAAGATGAAGATTGAGGTGCTATTGAAGAAAAAGGTAGTTTTTGATTCTTAGGATAGTAAAAGTGAATGTAAGAAGCTGATGGAGAAGTTCTAGAATGAATTAATTATAAAATAATGCAAATGAAAGGCATTTTAAAACTGTAAAGTATTATGTAACTGTTTGCTGCCTAAAATACATTTACATACCTAATTTAATCAGATAAGCAACATCGTAGTAATTTTAATGCCATTTAAGTTGACCAGATAATATTTTAAGAATGGTGACAATAACAATAGCTAACGTTTGTTGTGAACATACTTTGTCAGACACTGTTGAGTATAACTCAAATAAAACTCATTTAATATTCAAAGAACCAGTAAGCCAGGTACTATATTAGCTTCATTTTACAGATTGGGAAGTGAAGCCCAGAAAGGTTAAGTAACTTTCCCAAGATCACACTTCATAAATAGTAGACTCAAAATTTGAACCCAAGCAGTCAGGCTCCAGATCCAGAGCTCTTAACCACTAAGCAAAACTATACATGGTGTTTATGAATATAATAAAATAAAATGTTAAAAATTGACTGTATAATTTTGGAATTCTGGTTGACGTTGTACTACTCAGAGATGTAAAGCTTTTCTTGCCTCAAATAGTAAAAATTTTAGTAAACCTATGTGTGCATTTACCTGGGAAAAAGAAACAAGCAGCACTCAAAGTGGACAATAACCAGTTTAACATACTTCCAGCTCTAACATTCATCTCCTTAGTAACAATGTGTAGTGCTCTTTTTTTTTTAAGTCACGTCATTATTTATTATTACTTGAAGACTAGATTTTGGAGTTGACACTATTTATCCCTCCAATTATCTGTCATTCTCTCAAGTATTTTCAGTTTAGGTGCACCTCTCAATATATCAAAGCATAAAATGTCAAATGTCTTTCCTATAATTCTTTCACGATACAGAACATTAGTATTTTATTCCTCACTTCTCAGAACCCAAGGTTTTCTTTGTGTCAGGTGTTGCTCTCCAGAAATAAACTGTCATTTTGTTCTTAAGGCCTGTTCCATTCCAGAACCTGTAAATTCAATGAAGATCTCCTTGACATGTCATTTTTAAACCCCATTAATACCCTATAGGCTAATCTTGTAGGAAGAGCAGAGAATTCCATGTTGAGAAGGACAGTTCATTTCTGTTCACTTTATTCTTGGAGATTTTTCAAAATAAAATCTTCTAATGTTACAAGTGGCAATTGCTTTTTCATAGAAATTGTTTCAAAAAAGCATAAATAAATACACCATAAGTTATGGTGAACTCACATGTTACTGCTATCACAGAATGCCTAAATGGATCTAGATTGTTAAACTATAATATTAAATGAGCTAATCTGTGAATTCAAGAAAATCCTTTAATGCATTTGTGCTTCAAGGGCAGTCTTCTCAATGTCTATTCTCCCTTGTAGATAATCTCAGTACTAGTAAAGAACAATTTAGTTACCCTCTTCATAGAATTGCTCAAATTTATAGACTGTAGTTCATGGAAAATGGTTGGTTAGGTAATAGTTGGCTCCATGGTCTTGAATACAAAAGGGCAATGTACAGAGAAATTGTTTTCTCTACCCTTTATAGTCACAATATAAACAGAATTTTGACTACCTATTCAAACAGAGCAGATTGTCAGTGAACATCAATATATGGGATATAGCCCGTAGTTAAAAGGTAAACACATATTAATTAAATGGATATATAGACGTTTTAAAGGTAAATGGCATGTTAAAGATAAACTCACATTTAATGTTTAAAACAAGTATTTATTTGCAAATCACACTATTAAATACTGTAGAAAAATGGAGAAAAAGTACATTGTATTTCTTTATGCTCAACGGTTTATAACAATTTTCAACCTAGTCCTCAGTAGAATGAACCCTACATGTAAATTGCTACTTGACTCTAATTACAAGCAACATGCCAATGTGTGCAAATTAATATACCACGACAACTGGTCAACGAAAACAATGAGGGAGTGATCAGAAGGCAGTGTGATTTATCTGAAAAGACATAATGGAGGAGGTGATTTTGATAGCTGAGGACATTCCCAGAGAGTAGAGATTTTCAACCCTGAGTATTAGAATTACCTGGGGAAATTTTAAACATAACTATATCTATGCCCGTCCTCTGGAATATTGGCAATTTTAAAACCTCCCCAGGAGAGTCTAATATGCAGCTAGGAATAATAAGCTTTGATATAACAGTGGGTCATTGAAAGCAGGACCTTACTGTCAAATCTGTCATGAAATGGGAGGGACCTGAAATGGGAGGGAATTTGCAGAGATGACCTCTTCAGTTCCTCCTTCCTCTGGGATTCTATGACATTCATGTTCGATCTGAGGGAGAAGTTGACAAGTTGAGAGCTGAATGGGACTAAAAAGTGAGTTGAATTGGCTGGAACAGAGATGCCTTGGTGGGGAAAAAATAAAAGATTATCCCAGAGAGACATGGTAGGTAATCACTGGGTAGCATAGTTTAAATGCTAAATTGATGATTATAGGTTTCAAGTCATAGGATTTTAGCTATGGAATGCCCTTTGAAATGATGTATTTGAAATGATGCTTAATTTTCAATGCATCTGTCCCTTCTCAGTGTTACCAGCAGACCCATACAATCAGCATAACCAGGTTATTCAGCCTTTTTGAACATTTTAAAGTAGGACAACTACCATAGAGAAAATAAGTAGCCTTCATAAACGTTGGTGTTAAAAGATTTGATATAATTAAAATATTTTTTAAAAATTATTTTAATAGTAACATGTACAGAATAAATGGAAAAGTTACCAAAGCTGGATATAGATGGTAAGCTTTAAATAGAATTGGAATCTGTAAAGTTACCTTACAACTTGGTAAAATTTTGTATAGGATATTAATTTGAATTAGAAAGTTAGAAACTTATATTAGATAGTAGTCATTTTTTTATTTGTAGCTATATGTTAATTTAAGGGACAAACATCTAATGTTTATGGTTATGATATACCAACTGGTTTAAATAAACAAGTTTGAATAAAAAATCAGGTAAAAAGTTTTTCATGTGTGTATGCTGTTCAAATAAGCCACATGTCTAACCTAGTAATTTTTTTCTCACATTTTCTTTTCAGACTTTTATAGTATTGAATAAAGGGAAGGCAATTTTCCGATTCAGTGCCACCTCTGCCTTGTATATTTTAACTCCACTAAACCCTGTTAGAAAAATTGCTATTAAGATTTTGGTACATTCATATCCTTTTCATGTGAATTATCTAAATGTTGCTTCTAGTGGTTGACTTTATACAAAATTTTTTACTTTATACAAAAAATTTTACAACTAATTTTTTCTTTTAAAAAATATATAAAATTTCTTTGAGATTAATGGTAATGTTGTTTAATCTGTTGTTCTCACTGATTTTCTGCTACTTATAACAAAATTATTATAGAATGACTATTCTATTTATATGCTATATTATAAAATGACTATTGTATTACAGAATTATTCTAGAAGTAAAAAGGCAAATAAGATAGTGAATGTATAAATGAAAAATATCATACAGTAAGAACAACAGCAAAGCTCCTTTACACTTTTATTAGCTTCAATTAGATCATATATAATCATTGCTAAAGAAACATAGTCTACGGTGGTTAGTATTATTATCTATATTACTAAATGTTCAAACTTGTTTGCCTTAATTGGTTCTGTATCTTCAGCACCTGAGTCCATCTTTCTGTCTGCCCTTCTTTCTTTCCTTCCTTCCTTCCTTCCTTCCTTGTTTCCCTTCTTTCCTTCTTACCTTCCTTCTTTCTGCCTTCAGTAAATATTTATTTAACTACTATGTGCCTATATATCTGATCGATAATATATATTTAAAAAACCATTTAACTTAAAACTAGTTACAAAAAAGTACATGGAAAAGGACAGAATAGGTATGGATTTCAAGAAAATTCTCATAAGTAATAATAAAATAGTAAGGTGATCTGAGGTAGTGTTCAAGAGTGGACGTTTTATATAGGCAGATTCAAAATAGGCTTATATAGAAACGAAATAAGAAACCAAAGACTGGTTACCCTAGAACAAGGGCAAATAGAACTGATAACCTTTTGAAGTTCATTTGAATTCTTTCATTCTGTGGTTTGGTATTAGAAAGTACTTCTATTTTAAAATAAAAGATTTACCTCAAAATAATCATAAGCTTCCTTAGAATGAAGTCTGGATTGGAATCCTTAGAGAAATTGTTACAGTAATTCTCAGGAAGTTTTCAAAATAGTGTTTATTGGTTTAGTCACTATAAGAGTACTAGAGTAACTCATTACAGTAGATTCTTAATCAATGTAATCCTTGAATATACCTAGCTATCCACTCTTAGGCTTTTTATTTTGTGTTCATTAACATATTGTCAGTCAGTAGGTATTTTAAATTATATCTGAACTACAACTTTTATACATGTATTATACTGTAAACTTAAGGGTCATTTCCTCTTGCAGTGCAATTTCATGCAACTGATTGGAATGCAAAATTCCCACTTGCTTCAAATAGAAATCCTTTTCTGTTAAATTCAATTTTGCAAGAAAATGATGTAAAATGAAAAAAAGAGTGGACCAAGAATATATGACATGCTTTGAAGTTTCTTATTATTTTTTGCCATTGTTTTAAAACAAAATTAATATCACAGGTAATTTGTTATAGTGATTTTTAAATGACTATGATGATGTACTAGCATTTACTCCTTAACTAATCTACTTTATTCAGCATGCTTATCATGTGCACTATTTTGACCAACTGTGTATTTATGACCTTGAGTAACCCTCCAGACTGGACAAAGAATGTAGAGTAAGTAGAAATGACTTCTTGCAATGAGAAATGCACACTCAAATTCTTTAGCAATCTCCTTATGGTTATGGTCTTACTTATGGTTTCCACTTTTTGAAGTCAGGCTAAACACTTTTAAGAAAAAGTTATTTCCATAATATGAAAGAAGATAAGGGAAGTTCTTTGGGGGAGTTTTTCTTCTATGAGGTAAGTATTTTTCCCAACAAATTCAAGACAGTATCTGCTTACAAAAGGTTATAAATAGTATGTACTACCTGGTAAACTAAACCAATCATTTAGCACAAAAGTTAATAATCATAGTTATGTATTTTAGATAAAATACAATAAACATTTGAGTAATTTGATGAATAAAATTATTTTATTCTGGTATATTATTATTATTGTTATAGTCTGATAAAATAGATTTAGGTGTTTAGTTAAATATTATATATTAGGCATTATATATATTAGGCATTTTGGTTATATATTATATTATTATATTTAGGAAAATACATTTAGGTATTTAAGTTACTTAGATGTTTAATTATATTCAGATATATAGATTATTTAGACAAAGCATGTGTGCTAAAACACCATAGACATGTTTCATAAAAGAAATAAAACATCTCAGCAAAATTATGCTAAAAAAAATAAGAGGGCTTAAGAGGAAAACATAATAAAGAGAAAAATCACTCAAAACTTATGAAACTTTGTAATTAGGACACTAATAAAAACAATAACAATCTCCCCCAAAAAGATACTGGCCTAGTTAAATCTCTATGGACATTAGTACCTAAAATCGCAGTCAGCAACTCCTTGGAAATCTGAGACCCTGGGTATCATCCTTTCTCCCTTGAGATGGAGACCTTTGGGGACATTTGTATTATGTCATTAAAATAAAACATTTGATTCAATATTTTAATACAAAGGCACAGTAGTTCTTGGGCATGTTAAACTAGCCCCTGCTTGCACTAAAGAAGGCACGTCTGTCAATTTTCCGCTTTAGTATTAAGGTTTTTTATTGCTAAGGACGTTCTATTTAAGTGTGGGGAATAAAGGCCCTTGATTGTTTCAAAACATCAATATGCCAGGGAAAACTGTATATTAACTAACACAATTTCTGCACTATATCAACATTATTCCTTAATTTATCAATTGCATATGAAGTTATTCATGACGAAGAAACATGATAGTGAAACAGGTGTTTAGGTTACATAGGCTATTTATGTATAGCATAATACAATAATTAGGTATTTGGTTTAGTGGAAAAAAATTAGCATGATCTTTTTATTGTCATATTTTTAAAAGCAATGTTCAATAGGAGATAAATTATGATAAATTCTGCCACTTTTATTTCTAACTACTTTTATTGATTTCTATAAAGATTTAATGCATCATCTTAAGCCATCATTGCCCAGTGATTTAACAAATAAAGGTTTTTTTTACAGTAGCTTGGAAATACTCCCTAGAAATCATTTTAGTAGAAAATCCAGTTCTTATATTGAAGCAAGCCATTTAACAAAATTCTGTTACCACTTACGATGATGTGGAGGTTCATAAATGGACAAACCTATAGAAAACTATTCTGTATATACTTTTCCCAGTAGAAATTATTGAAGCATTTAAAGATGTATACATTTCATTTATTTGTATCATTATCAAAAGATAGGTAAAGGGGACACCTGAATATTATTACTTGAATATTCAGGTCTCTCTTTGTAAAGTCATTTTTAATGTTCACTATATCCATTATGAAAATAGTCATAATCTTATAAAAGTTTTTGACTTATACTTTTCATTTGGAAAACTATACACAGGTTGATTGATTATCTCTAGTCCCTTGACAGCAAGGCATCAGGAAAACAAGCAATTAGTGGTTACAGCAAAAACAAACAAACAAATAAAAAATACCCGCCCCCCCCCAAAAAAAAACAAAGTCCAATGAAAAGGGAAGATCAGTTCTGACATGAAAACATGAGTCACTGATAGCAGAAACAGTCCCTGTTCAAAGAGGTGGCACATACAGATATGACCTGAGGACCATATTGTATAGTGAGAGTCATATTATGTAAGATAAGGCACTTGTATAGATATCATAATTACAGATAAAAAAACATTCTGTGACATGGACAGAATTAACAGGATGATTAGGAGCCTAGTGGGTAGAGCCAAGAAACATCAAGGTTTCTTTGATTCTCACTTGCCTGTTCAATCTTGTTTGCTAATAGACTTCTAACATCTGTTCTGTGAGAAGCTCTGTCTCAGATGTTAAGCTCTAGAACTCTCTCTGGGTAGCTATCAACTTTCACCATGTACTCCAAATGTCCCAACAAAATTTCGTACTTTTCCAAAAAAGGAATAGAATTGTGGATTTGAATCTTATTCTTAGTAACTGTAGATTACTTAGAATTGTATAAGCATAGACCATAGGGCACTAACCATTAGTATGATAAATAGAACCTACATGTCTCTTTTGGACTTTTATAAGGCCAACTATTTCTCCAAACAGAAATGTCATGATGATTATGTGTAATACACAAAGACCCAAACTAAAACAAAAGTAAACATAAGCTTGATACTGTAAATTACCTCTCTTTCTAATAGTCAGCTACTTCATAATAAGTAAAGATTGCAATTGTACATATTCTTTATGTAATCAACTGAGTTGGTTAAAAAAAAAAAAAGGGAGGACTGTTCTAAGGAAGACTAGATGTGAAGATTTTTTCACATCTGATTTCTTTGTTCCTTCCTTCTGGGAGAAAATTTTCTACAGAAAACAATGCAAAAATAATACTCGACTTTTTTCATATATAAAATTTTAGTCGGCTGGAAAATATAATGAATTTTAGAATGAGTAAATGAAATCTTTGTGACTCAAGTAAAAAAAAAATAATCTGAAGAATAACTTAAATTGTACTTTTTAAAAGAACACAATATTGAAAAGTACTACGACTGTTTTTGGAAGAGACAAATAACTTACATTTTCAACACTCAAAGAAGGGAGCACTAGAAATACACTATATTGAACAGCAAATGGAAAAGTCTTTCACCATTTTGGAGGCTAAAATTTGAATGTGAACAAGTTTAAATGATTTGACCCAACTGCATAGAGATAGTATGTGGTATTAAGTTAGACCCAGGAATTTTATTTATTCCTGAATTTTGGCAATTGTGTATACACACACATAAAATACTAATAAATTGAAAACTTTCTTTTGAAAATATGTATATATGTAAATATATATATAAAGAGAGTGAGAAGCAGTTTTATAACTCTATGCCTGACTCTAAAGATGAAAAAGAGGGACGTGTATTTTCTAAATTAGACATGTAAAATATCCCTAAAAACAATTCTAATCATTAAAAAATTTGAATGAAGTATTTTATTATAAATAAATGAATCCAAGATATGTTACCTCTAGAGCTGTACTGTCTGATGAGGGAGACAGCAGCACATGTGGCTATTGATATTTAAAATCTGGCTTGTCTTAATTGTTGAAATGATAACATTTTAGATATACTGGTTTAAATAAAATATAATATGAAAATTAAGTTCACTTGTTCCTTCTTACCTTATTTGGCTACTAGAAATTTGAAAACTACAAATATAGCTTGCATTACACTTCAACCAGACAGTGTTCAAGAGAGTCAAGCGTAGCTATCCGTAAAACACACGAAACTATCATTCTAAAACCTTAATAGTAAATGAGATGTTCTTTGGGGAAGATATCATCTCTTCGGTTTAACCTTTTACTCGGACTTGTAAGATTAATTAATAGTAGATTCTTAGATAAGAGGAAATAAGGAACACAATATTAGTGAATTGATAAACCACCAAAGGACAGGATTTGCTACCTTTGAAAATATCTATTTTTACAGTTCAAACAAAATTCTTCATATTTGTTTCAATGTTTTTCCTAGGTACACGTTCACTGGAATCTATACCTTTGAGTCATTTATAAAAATCTTGGCAAGAGGATTTTGCTTAGAAGATTTTACATTCCTTCGCGATCCATGGAATTGGTTGGATTTCAGTGTCATTGTGATGGCGTGAGTATTTTTGAAAAAATGTTAAGCTCAAAGGAATGAAAATATCTGCAGCATAAATCAGGCTATTGTGACATATTTTAAATGTGAGTTTGCTTATTAGCCAAATTAACTATATGCCCCATATATTATGAGAATACATATTGCAAGGTAAATTTATCTGGTAAATGAGTAATAAATGGAATTACTTTCATGTCAGATAGTCTTCCACTTCATCAGAATAAAGTTATTCATTGACTATAATTTAATATCGCCAACTGTACTTCGATTAGTTTTGCAAACAAACTTGTTCACATTAGTGAAAATGACACTGAAATAAAGCAACAAAATTTTATTCCTTTAGCACATGGTACCCTGAGGTCTACAGCAATTCCACTTGTTAAACTCAAGGGACTTTATATGCCAAACCCAGCTTTCATTCTTTATTTAGTATAAACTTTGTCAAAACTATCAGTAACTCTGATTTAATTCTACAGGTATGTAACAGAATTTGTAAGCCTAGGCAATGTTTCAGCTCTTCGAACTTTCAGAGTCTTGAGAGCTCTGAAAACTATTTCTGTAATTCCAGGTAAGAAGAAACTGGTGTAAGATGGTAGGCCCCCTATATCTTCAACTTTTCTTGTGTGTTGTTGTGTTTGTGTGTAAACTCCCTATTACAGATATGTGACAGAGTTTGTGGACCTGGGCAATGTCTCAGCGTTGAGAACATTCAGAGTTCTCCGAGCATTGAAAACAATTTCAGTCATTCCAGGTGAGAGCTAGTTAAACACTAAGGCTGACTAAATACACTCGTAAGAATCCTGAGGTTGAAATCACACTTATAACATTAGCTTTGTTGTTTATTATCCTTGTTTGTCACTTTCAAGAATGACAAATGAAATGCAGTTCGATTCTTAAAATTTTAGAAATTACATTCTTATTTATCAAGTCAGCCTTTGAGTTTAACAGAGAATTGCATGAGAAGTCTATAAAAAATACTAGCTTTGCTCTTTTCATCTATTTTTTTTTTTACATTTATGATATAAAGTTTTCTCTTTTACATTCCTAAAAAAGCTTTGCTACCATGGCTTTACTAACTGATTTGGATTTTACCACTTGCTTCAGATCTGTTTTGAAAATGGATCTTTTTTTATAAAGGAGAAAAGATTATTATTGAACAGCATGCACATGGCATGAGGATTTTATCACTTTAAAATTATTTTCTCCTCTAAATCACTGCTACTTGTAAGCTAGTATAAATAATGGGTTGGAGGGAAACAGCCTCATGAACCACAAAATCTGAAACGAAAAATAATTGCAAGTTTGTCTTTGAATGTTTGTGGCAACATGTAAAACCACACACATGAAAAAATTTCCTATCTAGATATTTACACTTTCATTCCAGAAATCACACTGTTCATAAATAAAATCTGCTTTTCATCCATTTCTCAAACCATCTGGCTGTCCATAAAGCTTTGATGTCTAAACAGCCAAATAATTGTTTGTCGGGAAAGAGAATATATATGACTATGAAGAAGACATTGTGACTATGGCACTCTTCTTCAGCTGACCTATCATTCTCTCTCCTCAGGTTTAAAGACCATTGTGGGAGCCCTGATCCAGTCTGTAAAAAAGCTTTCTGACGTCATGATCTTGACTGTGTTCTGTTTGAGTGTGTTTGCTCTAATTGGTCTGCAGCTGTTCATGGGCAACCTGCGGAATAAATGCTTGCAATGGCCTCCAAGCAATTCTGCTTTTGAAAGCAACACCACTTCCTTTTTTAATGGCACAATGGATTCAAATGGGACATTTGTTAATGTAACAATGAGCACATTTAACTGGAAGGATTACATTGAAGATGACAGTAAGAAATACTGCTACATTGTTAATCTTAGCTGTTGCTGAATGAGTTTTCAACTATAAGTAGTTGAGGCTGTAGGTGTTAAGCCATCTTGTAAATACACTTTATTGGTGTCCATTTTGGAAATAATTGACATAGTCAAACTCTCATTATTCCTAATGTCAATAAGCTTGATATGAAATGAAACAGTTTATTCTTTATATTAACAGGTCACTTCTATGTTTTGGATGGACAAAAAGACCCTTTACTCTGTGGCAACGGCTCAGATGCAGGGTAAGGAACAAATTTTTTTAAAGATATAAAACCCATGGGAAAAATAGCAGATGAGAAAAAATATATAAGGGTCTCATTATATGTATATAATAAAGAGTTATGCTGCCTACCTAGGAAGTACCTTCTCTGTCTTACTAGACTGCTACAGGTTCTAAATTCACAGACTTAAAATCATCTTTTTGGGTGAATACCTACTATGCCAAGTTTCAGTTAAGATGTACTTGTATTATTGTTCCAAAGTGTGAAGGCCCATAGTCTATCTTTTCTGTAAACTCATCAGAGTTGTTTAAGAAATACAGAGAAGGAAACACAAGATGGGCAAATTTTGCTTGTTGTTGATATATGTTGATGTGCTATGGCTGGAAAAGATCTAGAATATAACATGGTCTTCAGGGTAGAAGTCCAGTTGGGAAACTGCTTTGAGAGACTTAATATTCTTGAAATAGCATGAACCCTGTGTGCAAAGAAGCAAATGGGCAGGTTTATGTCACAGGCATGTGTTCGAGTCTGAGTCTATATACTTAACAGTTCCTTGTGGTAACATTCTATAATAACAGATGCTGTAATATCTCAGTCATCCTGCTAGTCTCTCAATACTTAACATATTTTCCCAAGAGTACTATAAATTAATTTGAAGCCGGGGTAGAGGGTAGGTTTTTCAGAAGTCAAAGAATAGCAACAGTAAGTACTCTTAGGCCACAGAATTTATACAGAACATATTTTGAAAATTGAAAACTAGTTTGGCCATAAAGATCTAAGAGTGTTATTGAAAATATATACAGTCATAGAGATGGAGCTTAGGGGAGAATTTTTTTCCCTGATAGTCTGCCCAATTTTTGTTAGGAGAGCATAGTGAATAAGAGCGTAGTTTCTAGAGTTCATATATACCTGGGTTCAAATTCTAACTCCACTTTGGAAAAGTGTCTTAAGCTCTCTGTATTTGAATTTACTTATTTCTAAAATGGAGAGAGAATTATTACCTCTCCTAGGGTTGTTATGGTAATTAATACACATAAAGCACTTGGACTAGTAGCTGGTCCATCATAAGCTTGTTACCAATTATTTTTTATTATTATAGTTAATTTAAAAGACTAAGTAAAATTTTGGATAAGGTTCGTTACTGCATACTTTATCCCCATTAAATAATAATAATCACTTCCCTTTATTGAGTACCTGTAATGGGTTAGGTAACTTACATGGTAAAATTTATATATTCTCTATTATTCAATGACAAATACAATTCTAAAGATATCTACATAATTTTAAGACTTCTTATAAGGCTACAGTAATCAAGACAGTATGATACAAGAAGAGAATAGGCATATGTAGATCAACGAAACAAAACAGAAAGCAAGAAAAAAAAAAGACACACACAAATGTAGTCAACTAATTTTTGACTAAGAAGAAAATGTAATTCAGTGGAGACAGGAGAGTTGTTTTCAATAAATGGCAATGGACTAATTGGAGATCCATATGCAAAGAAATGAACTTAGATACAGATCTTACATATACACCTTACCCCCAAAATAACCCAAAATCAATCATAGAAATAAATATAAAATATGAAACTATAAAACTTCTTTAAAAAAACATAGCATAAAACCTATGTGACTTTGGATTTGGTTATGAGTTTTAAAAGTAACAACAATAGCATAATCCACAAAATAAAAATATAAGTTGGACTTTATTAAAATTAAAATTTTCTGCTCTGCTAATTATATGCCAACAAATAGGACAATCTGGAAGAGATGGACACATTCCTAGAAACATACAATCTCCCAAGACTGAGTCAAGAAGAAAAGAAAATCTGAACCGACTAATTATCACCAATGAAATAGAATCAGTAATCAAAAATATCCCAAAAAAACAAAAGTCCTGGACCAGATGGCTTCAAAGGCAAACTTTACCAAACATTCAAAGAAGAATTATTATCTATTCTTCTCAAATTATTCCAAAAAATTCAAGAAGAAGGAAGGCCCCATAGCCCCTTTTCTGAGGCCACCATTACCTTGATTAGAAAACTGACATTACAAAAAAAGAAAACTATAGGCCAATATCTCTTATGAACATTGATGCAAAAACCTTCAATAAAATATTAGCAAACTGAATTGAGCAATACATTAAAAATATCATACACTATGATCAAGTTGGATTTATTCCTGGGATATATGGTTGGTACAATATCCACAAATCAATTAATGTGATACACTACATTACCAAATCGAAAGATAAAAATCATATGATCATATAAATAAATGCAAAAAAACGCATTTGACAAAATCCAGCATTCATTTATGGTAAAACCTCTCAGCAAAGTGGGAATAGAGGGAACATACCTGAACATAATAAAGGCCATATATGACAAACCTACAGCTAATATCATACTCAATGGGGAAAGGCTAAAAGCATTTTCCATAAGATCAGGAACAAAACAAGGATGCCCACTTTCACTACTCCTCTTCAACATTGTATTGGAAGTTTTAGCCACAGCAATAAGACAAGAAAGAGAAATGGAAGGCATCTGAATTGGAAAGGAAGAAGTAAAACTCTTGTTATTTGCCGATGACATGATACTATATATAGAGAACCCTAAAGACTCTACCAAAAATCTGTTTGAACTGATCAATGAATTCAGTAAAGTAGCAGGTTACAAAATAAATATTCAGAAGTCAGCGGCATTTTTATGCATCAATGATGAACTTTCAGAAAGAAAAATTAAGAAAACAATCCCATTTACGATTGTGTCAAAAACTATAAAATACCTGGGAATCAAATTAACCAAGAAGGTAAAAGACCTGTTCTCTCTCTCTCTCTCAGAAAATTATAAGTCATTGAAAAAAGAAATGGAAGAAGATACAAATAAATGGAAGCATATACCATGTTCATTGATAGGAAGAATCAACATCGTTAAAATGTCTGTACTACCCAAAGCAGTCGATAGATTCAATGCAATCCCTATCAAAAGACCAATGACATTATTTCAGGGAGCTAGAATGAATAATCCTAAAATTTATATGGAGCCATAAAAAAAACCCTGAATAGCCATGGCAATCTTGAGAAAGAAGAACAAAGTTGGAGGTATCACACTACCTGATATCAAATTATATACTACAAGTCTACAGGAATCAAAACGGTATAGTACTGGCATAAAAACAGGTACATTGATCAATGGAACAGAATAGAGAGCCCAGAAATAAATCCATGCCTA